GGAAAAATAAGCATATATATGCATCTTGCTAGTTTATTTATTTATTTATTTATTTATTTATTTATTTATTTATTTATTTATTTTGAGACGGAGTTTCGCTCCTGTTACCCAGGCTGGAGTGCAATGGCGCGATCTCGGCTCACCGCAACCTCCGCCCCCTGGGTTCAGGCAATTCTCCTGCCTCAGCCTCCTGAGTAGCTGGGATTACAGGCACGTGCCACCATGCCCAGCTAATTTTTTGTATTTTTAGTAGAGACGGGGTTACACTATGTTGACCAGGATGGTCTCAATCTCTTGACCTCGTGATCCACCCGCCTCGGCCTCCCAAAGTGCTGGGATTACAGGCTTGAGCCACCGCGCCCGGCCTAGCTAGTATATTTATTTTCAAAACTCTGGAAGGCTATATAAGAAACTAATAACAGTGGTAACCAAGGAACCTTGGGAAGTAAGCAGATAGGGATGGAGATAGGAGGGAAACTGTTCAGAACATGTTATTTGAACCATGTGAATGTACTACTTATTCAAAAGTTAAATGCATGAAAAGCTTTTTAAACAAAAGGGGTGGGGTGACAGCAGCTGATCATGGTTGAGAAGCAGACAGACATAAAACAGGCCTCCAGAAAGCAGCTGAACTGGCTAATTGTGGGCACCACAGAGAATAATCACAGACTGAATCCAGAGTGGCCCTCTGGTTTCAGGTACTACAAGGCCCAGACCTACTGCTCTTTCTGGCCTTGGATTTATTTGCTGAGATTCTGCCTCCTTTACTGCCACACGTGGATCCTCTCAAAAGAAACGTACTTACTTGAGTTAACACCTGGGTTTCTGTCTCCTAATCCAGTCTAAGAAGAACAGCTGAGAAAATGGTCTTCCCTGTAGTTGAACCAGAAAGATAGAGGGTTTGAGGCTTGAAATATTCTGTTTTCTTTTCTTTTTTTGAGATGGAGTTTCACTCTATCGCCCAGGCTGGAGTGCAGTGGCGCCATCTCAGCTCACCGCAAACTCCGCCTCCCAGGTTCAAGTGATTCTCCTGCCTCAGCCTCCTGAGCAGCTGGGACTACAGGCACATGCCCCAATGCCCAGCTAATTTTTGTATTTTTAGTAGAGACAGGGTTTTACCGTGTTAGTCAGGCTGGTCTTGAACTCCTGACCTTGTGATCCACCTGCCTCGGCCTCTCAAAGTGCTGGGATTACAGGCGTGAGTCACCACACCCAGCCAAAATAATCTTTTTTCAAGAGTGGAGGGCAGGTGCTCATGAAGGCACCAGTTTTTCACTCAGAAGGGAGTCAGGCACTAGATCGGTAAAGCCCAAATACCATTCTGGGACTAGCACCTTGTCCCCATGATTGCAAGTTTTGTTGAACTCAATCTCCTCGCCTCCCTTGAGAAGGGGCCACTTTGCTGTCTTGAGGGCATCATCCCACTCTGAAGCAAGGTGGCGGGGGGATTCCCAAAGCAGAGTGTGTGACAGCGTGCACTCACGGAGAGGAAGAACAAGCTGATTCTTTGGGGTTCACATTGTCAGGAAACCTCAGCATTAGGGTTGGGTCTGAGGAGGTGTTTAGGGTCTGAATATTGAAGGCCCAACCTGCTCACTGCTTCTTTAGATTATTCTATGTCTAATCCAGTGCCAACCACACAAAGGGCACTTTGATGTGGGTGAGGGGAATGGATTCTGATACCTCCAAACTTCAACCCTAAGCCTCCTTAGCTGTGCCAAGGAGCACCTAGGGCACTGGTTGCTCCAGAACTCAGAAGACAGGTAAAGGAAGAGCCTCGTCACGAGTCACTCCTCTCTCAAATACCTCTGGCCACTTCCATGGCTTCACCCGAGGCAGCAGAAAGGAGTTGAGGGACACATTTCGTACTTCACTTTCACTTTATTATACAGAAGAATCCAAATTCTTTTTTTTTTTTTTTTTTTTTTTGAGACGGAGTTTCACTCTTGTTACCCAGGCTGGAGTGCAATGGCGCGATCTCGGCTCACCGCAACCTCCACCTCCTGGGCTCAGGCAATTCTCCTGCCTCAGCCTCCTGAGTAGCTGGGATTACAGGCACGCGCCACCACGCCCAGCTAGTTTTTTTGTATTTTTAGTAGAGACGGGGTTTCACCATGTTGACCAGGATGGTCTCGATCTCTCGACCTCGTGATCCACCCGCCTCGGCCTCCCAAAGTGCTGGGATTACAGGCTTGAGCCACCGCGCCCGGCCCAAGAATCCAAATTTTTAACAATCCTTATACTTAAAGCAACTGGAGAGTACACAGAACTGAAACTCAGAAGCGAGGTGGGGGTGGTGGGTGGAAGAACTTGCTAAAGCAGAGCAGAGGTAGTTAGAGAGATGGTGCCGGAGAGGATCAAGGGTTTTAGCTACTGTAGCTCTGATGTTGGCTTATGAAATAAGAAAAAAAAAATTTTTATAAAAATGTTTCAAAAGGTAAAAAAAAAATTAAAGAAAGAAGAACAAACAAAAACGTGTTCTAGCTACTTCCCGTTATCCTCACTCAGGCCTATTTATTGTCAGTTCTTCCTTTTTTTATTCCCCTACTCTTTAGACCTTTTATCCTTCCTGGAAAGGGAAACTAGAAGGATATTGGAGGCTAGAGGAGGAGAGAGGAAGGTAAGGAGAAGGCCAAGGTAGGGGCTCTGTCCATCCACAGCCTTCAAATCTCAGCTCTGCATTTTTGGGGATTTTACCATTGGTATGTTCAAGGGTGCTTATAAAAACCATTTCTGCCGTAACAGTTTCTCTTCCACAAGTCGGTCCGAGATGAGATTGTAGTTGGCACCAGTTACCAATGCACAGAGCACAGGGCACAGGGCAACGCACGTGGTCAGCGGTTCTCAACGTTGCCATTCCCGCAACCCTCTTGGACACATGCTTCCCCAGAGATACCATTTTGGAAGATTTCGTCAACCCAACAAAATGCATTTAGGTGCATTGAATAATTTGTTTTTTGATTTTGTGATCAAAGACTTACATAGTCTTCATAATCTTCTACAAATTGTAATGAAGATAACCAAAGGAGTAACATACTGACTTGCTACAAATTCAGTCAAAAACCAAAAAACAAACTCTACTGCCACGCTTTATTTTGGGTAAGCGTATATCAACCAGACGTTCCGAATAATGAAAACAGTTAACAGCAAACACCTCCACTCCCCTCCTCCACACCTCTCCTCTAATTTGAAGGTTCAGCAGATGCTCCTCTGGCCAGCACATGTCTGGATCTTTAGAAGCAGATGATAAGATAATAAGATGCTACCCTAGAGCTTGCAGCCAAAAATCACTGGTCCCCTTTCCATAGAAGAGGCCACCTGTAGGGAGCAGTTCCTGTAACTCCTAAACCTCCAACACATGGCCCCTCTACACCTCAACACAAACTCCCTAACTCCAAGGGGAACAGTGATCTCATGGCGGAGGCAGGGAGTGACAAGTGATCTGGGGTGACTTTTTCACAAGCTAAGGGTCCCAAAAATCGTACAAGTTTTGTCATCCCTAAGGTATCTCAGAGAGAGAATTCCTTTCCCTGATAAGAGTCACCAATTCTTAGTACCCAAAGTAGAGCAAGCTCTTTCCTTTAAGAGCTTTTGATCAGCTCTGGGGAAATTGGGAGAGCAGGGTTCTCAAATAAACAACCGATAAATAAACCTGCCATCAGTTAACGAGGCTGGCCTCATGGTAGGACCCTAAGGCTCCTTCTGGGATTACAAGGTCGGCACATTCTCCTTCAGAGCCTATAAGAGACTAGGCAACTAGCAGATAAGATTTAGAAATGAATCAAGTTTCATCCATGAAGCTACCCCACCTGCCTCAGCCTAGGCAGCGTTTTTGTTCTGTGTCAGAACTAGGCACTGGGGACAGCAGGGAGATAGCAGAGAAGCTAAGCTGCAGAAACTTGAAATACAAAATTAGAAGAAGGGCTTTCTTGGGGGTTGCTGTTTCAATAGTCCTTGGGGATAGGGCCTGGCTGAGGACCACACCAGAACTGAGGAAGAAGATTGTTTTCCATCTGGGCTCAGAATTCTAGGCTCCTATCCTCTAGATGTGACTGATGTTAGGGTACCCTAGAGCAAGTCTTGCCCTTCTCTGAGTCTTGGATTCTCTTTTTGTGTCTCCAAGAATTACCTTTAATGTCTGGAAGGATGCCCCTGCTCTCACCTCCTCACTCTCAGATTGAATATGTGTGTATTTGGGGCTGGGTGAGGGGGGCATTCTGGAAATGCTCAGAGACACTTACTTGGTAAACTACATAGGTAGAAAGGTCATGAGGGCAGAGGCAAAAGAGTCAGCAGCCTATTTGAAGTACCCAGGGTGCCAGATACCTACAATGCTTTCTAAAATTCAATACCTACAATACAAATCCCTCCTCTTTTTCTGGCTAAGGCCTCCTTGTCCCAAAGAGTAGGCAGGACCTGTCTTGTGGCAGGAGGTGGCAGGGGACATCTGATGGAGAAACCTAAGAAGGCAAAAAAGAGCCAGCGGGAAGTCAGACAGCCCTGCCAGGATCCAGGAACCCTACTATCCCTCTTGCAGCGGACAAACATTCACTGGTGCTTAGGCTTGCTGGGGTTGACGGCAGGGTGATGAGAGAGCACACGGGGATCCCTTTCTCCCTGCCCCAGCTCAGGGGTCTGAGTCTGGACCACAACGGCAGGCTTCTCCTCATCCATCCCAGCATAGGATAAGAGAGGTGGGAGGTGAAGTGTTGAGAGTCTCCGCTGGTGGATGGAATCATCAGTTACCTCTGGCAGCTCATCCTAGGATCAGGGCTTTCAGGAAGTGGCAGCATTTTGTGATGTCACTGGGTAGCACTAGATGGTACAGAAATGAGCTCCTTGGGAGAGAACAGTGCTAAGTTCTGTCTTGTTAATAGATATTCCGGGAAAAAAAACAAAAACAACAACAACAAAAAAAAACAAAAACTAAGCAGACAAAAACCCATACCAAATAATTCAGGGAACTGGGTTATACAACATTCAATAGATTTTACTACTGCAGGACTTCTCAAGACCTTTATTACAGTATCATGCACTGCGAATCTCTAAGAAAAAGACATCACGTGTAATGTCTTCCAAAGCTTATTTTAATAGGAAGTCTTTATGCATGGCATATGTCAAGATTAATGGCACACAGAACACATTGTATCCTATCCATGAGTCACATGGGAAATCACCTTCCGGGCCTTTCTCTGTGAGGTCTCCCTGTCCACTGTGCCCTGATCAACCCCTTCACTCTCTTTACTTCCCTCATTTCTCTTAAGCGGACAAACGTCCAGGTCTCTGGCTCACAGCTTCAGATATGACAAGGCGTGAAGGTGACGCTGAGGAAAGCCAAGCAAAAGCCAGGCCAAGCAGCACTCATGGTGACGGTCACAGGAGAGAGGCGATCAGTGGAGCCAGGGACTGGGCCATCCTGCTACGGATCACACTGCTGAGTTTTGGTTGTATTTATTTCAGAAGCAGCCATCATTCACCGAGGGGGAGAGAGGAAAGGGAAGACGGGGGAGAGAAGAATGGGAAGGGACATTTTACACGTGTGAAGCAAAGGCCGAGCCAGAGGGCCGAAAGCCGCCAAGCCCTGACGAGCCTCCCGCTGCTGGCTTGGCCCCCTCTGCCCTCAGCAGCAGTTCTCCATCCATGGAAGATCGGGGGTTCCCAAAGTGGTTCCCCTCGGGCTCTACACCGTGGCTGCCCTCCAGCCTGGGGGCCCCTGGCTGCTGACAGGAGATGAGGGTCACTGAGGGGAAGCCATACGTTTCCAGCCCAGGGGGCCGCCCAGCCTCAGAAGCTTCCAGAATGAGATCCACATCGGAGAAGGCCACCAGGGCCTGGGTTGAGTCGCAGGAGCTCTTCTCCAGCTCCCCGGCTGCGGCGAAGGCGAGGGGCCCTGGGGCCCCCGCGCGGGGCCGGAGCCTCCGAAGGTCGTCGCGGAAGTGGGGGTTGAAGAGCAGGTAGAGCAGCGGGTTGAGGCAGGCGGGCAGGGGCAGCACCACCAGCAGCACGGACTTGACGGCCTCGGGCGTGACCGGGAAGAGGCCCAGCATGGAGGCGAAGCTGAGGAAGGCCACGGGACAGTAGAGGAGCCCGTCTGCGAAGATGAGCCAGGCCACGTGCCTCACCATGGCGCAGTCCCACACGGCCTCGAAGTCGCCCCGCGGCAGGTCGCAGTAGAGTTTGATGTAGGCGCCGGCCACGACCAGGAAGCAGAAGGAGTTCATCATGACCAGGGCCACCGCGAAGCCCAGCGCTGCGGGCTGGCCCTCCGGCGGCGCGTAGGGCAGGCAGAGCGGGGAGGCCCCGTACTCGCCCACGGAGGCCAGCGGCAGCGCGGCGGCCAGCGCGGCCAGCGCCAGGCAGCCCAGGACCCCCGCTCGGACGCTGCCCGGGGAGGGGGACTTCCCGTAGGCGCGGACGCAGGACACGGAGACGCTGCACTGCACCGCGGCCAGGGTGAGCAGCAGCACCGACGCCTCGGACCCCAGGACCGCCAGGAAGCCCGTGGCCCGGCAGCCCAGCCCCGTCTCCCAGCGGGCGCCGTACTCAGAGAACTGGCCAAAGGTCAGGGCATCGACCGAGGCGAGAAGGCCGCAGGAGATGCCAGTCAAGGTGTTGGCGCCTGCAATTGCACCTACCACGAACTTGACCGGGGGCAGGGGGACAGGCGCGCCGACGAACACGGTCAGCAGCACCAGTCCGTTGCAGAGCACCGAGAGCAACACGATGGCCCACACGGCCAGGCGGATGCCCCAGCTTTCAAAGAGGTGCTCGCAGGGCTTGAAGGGGCCTGGAGGAGAGAGGATCCGACATTAACCCTGGGCCAGAGGATGCTGGGACCAGGTCCTGAGGACAAGGTCAGCCTCTGCACTCAGAGAATTTCCAGTTAAAAAGAGATGAGCATGGCCTCTGCCATCAGAAAACCCGAGGTCTAAGGGAGGCTGACACCTGGTATCTGCCCCCAGAGAACTCCCAGTTGGAGGGTCTCTCACCCTAGAGACTCCCAGCTGGGGTTGTGGGGAGGAACAGTGGGACATACGACTCTTCTTCCAAAGAGCTGCAAGTGGGGTAACCCCAACTCTCCTCTCAATACACCAGAACACAGAATGCATATAGGTCGGGTGTGGTGACTCATGACTCTAACCTCAGCACTTCTGGAGGCCAAGGGGCTGGATCGCCTGAGGTCAGGAGTTTGAGACCAGCCTGGCCAACATAGCAAAACCCCATCTCTACTACAAACACAAAAAATTAGCTGGGTGTGGTGGCACACACCTGTAGCCCCAGCTACATGAGAGGCTGAAGCAGGAGAATCACTAGGACCTGGGAGCTGAAGGTTGCAGTGAACCGAGATCGTGCCACTGCACTCCAGCCTGGGTGATAGAGCACGACTCTCTCTCTCAAAAAAAGATATAAGCGCACACACACGGTACAAATTAATATAGTACAAACCCAGACATTGAGCAAATGTTAAGCGAAGGACAGTACTTGAAAGAAAGGAAGGCTGCCATCAGGGAGTGAAGAGGGTATCAGCTTTGGGAGACATGGCAGGTAGGGACGGAGGTGTGAGGGACTGCCCAGACAGCACCTGGTCTATGCCTGAGCCTCTGTTTCTCTCAGTCAGTCCCCCGTAATCCACTAAGGCCCCCACTGTGGGAGAATCCTGACCGAATATTCTACCAGCCTGCCTCCCTTGCTCTGTGACAGGGGTACAACCACGTTTAATATTTGTCAGTCAATCAGTGTTTGGGAGGTAAAGTGTCTGAAGTCCAGTAAATCAAAATACAGATGACTTCTTTCCAACGTGGGTCCATTTGAGATGGGTGACATCCTGGTGTTTGCCATCCGTCTCCCCAAAGTCTTCCTAAATCACCTCGTAACTTTGGAAATATTATTTCTTCATTTCCTTTGGCTTCAGACTCTTGTTCTTTTTTTTTTTTTTTTTTTTTTTTTTTTTGAGACGGAGTTTCGCTCTTGTTACCCAGGCTGGAGTGCAATGGCGCGATCTCGGCTCACTGCAACCTCCGCCTCCTGGGTTCAGGCAATTCTCCTGCCTCAGCCTCCTGAGTAGCTGGGATTACAGGCACACACCACCATGCCCAGCTAATTTTTTGTATTTTTAGTAGAGACGGGGTTTCACCATGTTGACCAGGATGGTCTCGATCTCTTGACCTCGTGATCCACCCGCCTCGGCCTCCCAAAGTGCTGGGATTACAGGCTTGAGCCACCACACCCGGCCCAGACTCTTGTTCTTGACTGTATTTCTAGGTAGCTTGTGAATTTGAGAGGCTTTTGTGGGAGCCTTTTTTTTTTTTTTTTTTTTTGAGACAGAGTCGCTTTGTCGCCCAAGCTGGAATGCAGTGGCAAGATCTTGGCTCACTGCAACCTCCGCCTCCCAGGTTCAAGCAATTCTCCTGCCTCAGCCTCCCGAGTATCTGGGATTACAGGCACATATCACCAACCTGGCTGATTTTTGTATTTATTTAATACAGATGCGGTTTCACCATGTTGGCCAGGCTAATCTCAAGCTCCTGATCTCAGGTGATCCACCCGCCTTGACCTCCCAAAGTGCTGGGATTACAGATGTGAGCCACCATGCCTGGCCTGTGGGAGCTATTTTTAAATCATTTTTTTCTTACTACCAAATATAATAGGTGATAATTGTGGAAAATTTGAAAATATAACATGGAAAAATTAAAATGACATGACACTTCACTTCTCAGAGATAACTCACTTTTTCACGTTTCCTTCTGGTCTTTAAAAAACACATACATACATATAGGTTTTTAAACTAAATTAAAGGCCAGGAGTGGTGGCTTACGCCTGTAATCCCAGTACTCTGAGAGGCTGTGGTGGACGGATCATGAGGTCAGGAGATTGAGACCATCCTGGCCAACATGGTGAAACCTCATCTCTATAAAAAAACAAAACAAAACAAAACAAACTGAATTAAGATTTTGCTGTTGCTATCATTTGGATATGGTTTGTCTTCACCAAAACTCACGCTGAAATGGAATCCCCAGTGTGGCAGTGTTAGGCGGGGCCTAATGGGAGGTGTCTGGTCATGGGGGCAGATCCCTGAGGAACAGATTAATATCCTCCTATGGGAGTGAGTTCTCCATCAATCCAGGGAACAGATTAGTTCCCTAAGAGCAGGTAATTAAAGGGAGTCTAGCCTCTCTCTCACCCTGTCATCTATTTGCACATATCCACTCCCATTCTGCTTTCCATCACAAGCTGAAGCAGCCTGAGGCCCTCATCAGATGCCCGGGCTTGAACCTTCCAGCCACCAGAATTGTGAGTCAAACAAACCTCTTTCTTTATAAATTACCTAGCCTCAGGTACTCTGTTATAGCAACACAAAGGGGACTAAGACAGCTGTACATAAGTTTCTCATTCTCTTTAAGTTACATTTTTATCAAGCAGAGTTTCCCAAATTTTTTCCCAGAAAATATCTTCATATTACTCAAAACACATTTTATATACCATAAAATGTACCATAATTATTTGACCACTTGGTATGGGTTACTTTAGAAGCAAGCTTAAGTTGGACTTTGTCTTTTGGAACTTCCTCTGCTACCTCATCCCTGCCGATTACTGGTTTTCAGAGGTGAAATTTCGATGGCATTGTGAATGAAGCATGTGTGTTTCCAAGTCAGAAACGGCACCTGCTTCCTCCAGGTTGGGTTAGTGCTCTGGCCCCAAGCTGGCACTAGGGGGCGTGCTGTTGTCACCAAGCGCTGAGAACTCGGGCTGGGCAAGGTCAGGCAACCACTCTACGTAGGTTTCAGATAAGGTAAAGGGAGAAGTTAAAGTCCTGGGCCAGAGAAAGCTGGAAAACTGGAAAATGGAGGTGGAATGAAATAGAAGAAGCAAACTGCTCATCACTTTCTCTTCATTCTGAAGAGTTCCCATCCTTGCCTAAGTAGCATGGTGCTTGCCGCCTTCTGTGGCCTTGTTAGCATTTTATATGCAAGGGAAGGTATCTCCTCACCCTAAACATCTCAAGTTGAATTGCACCCCCAAAAAAGAGGGTTTTCTTATTTGCTTTATTTTTTCGCAGCAAGATGGATCTAGGTTAGACTCCAAAGGAGGCTTCCCCAACTGTAAGGGTTAGATGGTGCTATAAGGAGTTACCCAGGGATACTATGGAGTTTTTCTACGGTGCAGAGTTTTAACAGACACTGTAATCTTTCTGGGATGGAGCAGTGAGGGATGGAGAAGGTGACCTTTCAGAGTCCCACCTGGCTCTAGGATTCTGTGGTATGGGTCTTAGACTGAGGGAATACTCAAAAGTAGTCCCACGTGCCACCCTGCGCAGTGGGGGTCGAGGCATTCTTTCCTGCTTCTCTCCTGTGTGACGGTACTTTTCTCCTGGATGTATAAATGCTAATTGGCTGATTGCTTGACTTCCCCTCTACTCGTGCTACTCCCTGCAAACAGCCACCCAAGGGAAAGAACTCAGTTCCTTCCCCCGGAATTATGAAAGGAGAGCCCTCTGTCAGCAGGCTGGGAGTCAGGCAAAGAATGTGGCTGCAGACATGCCTGGCTGACCTAGTACCCCAACTAGGTGGTTGGGTGCCCCTTCTCCATTCCCTCTCGCCCCCATTCCCCAGACGCCATCTCACCTGGAGTAGGGCTACACTGGACACTGGGGTGCGGCTTTGAGTCCTCCATCTCCAGCTGGAGCTCATCCAGGTCCAGGTCATCTGAGAGGAGAGACAAGAAGGTGACGCAGGGCCCTGGGTCTCGGTGTCAGTCAAGCCCTACCTCTTAACACCCCTTCCTTTAAGTAGTTGTCCCTTGTGACTCTGCTCAGCACTGGTCATTCCAGCAACCCTGCACATCCCATTTCTACCCTTGGGTAGAAGAAGATTTGGTCAGCTTCCCATTACCCACATGTGGATGATCTGCACTGGAAAGTGCACAGCGAACATTTCATCGAGAACTTCTCTTTCTATTAACCAGGGCTCTGTGCCCTATCTAGTCGGCCTTACTCACCAGTGCTGCTTCAAGTTGGAGTGGAAGCTGTTTTAATAATATATGCTAGTGATCACATGTTTCTCTACTCTGGCTGGGCTGTCACTGTAATTTTGTGTCCAGTTGTGAAAACTACACATTAAGAAAAACATCAGTGAGCTGAAATGCGTTCAGATGTAACTAGGGACGGTGAGGGAGCAGAAGCCATTTGTGAGAGAAACAGTCAAAGCCACTGGGCGGTGTTTAACATGGAGGAGGCAAGAATAAGTGGGGATATGCTGGCTGTTCTCAAAGGGCTGAAGGACCCTTAGGGATAAAGGAATTAGACTTCTACATGCTGTTTTGCCCCAGAGGGTAGAACCAGGATTAGTGGATGGATTGTAGAGGGAGGCAAATTATGATTCGAATGGAGACATTCTACTTGTAACTACTAACAAGAGTAAGTTCCCACAATTAGAACTGTCCAGCAAAGGAACACTCCACGTTCAACAGATGCAGAGTAGGGCCACATCTACAGAGTGCAGTTCGGGCACTGGGCAAATGTAGAAGAACTTCAGTAAGAGACGGGTCTGCTCTCAAAGAGCTTGTGGGGACTAATAAGGAGGCAAACTGTCATGCCACAATGAGCGGCACCAGCCAGCAGGTTTATTTACTAGCTAGAAGGGAATAATTGGAATGTTTCTCCCATAAAGAAAAGACAAATATTTAAGGTAAAGAATAGCCCAATTAACTCTGATTTGATCTTTACACATTATGTGAATGTATTCAATAATCTTATGTGCCCCCAAAATAGATACATCTATTGTGTATCAATTAGAAAAAAATTTAAGCTAGTAGATTTACTTAACAATAAGGGTTAACAATCCTTGAGTTCTAATTCCGCGCCAGGTACTATGCCCAGCGAGTCCTCATCTTCATAGTCCCATTAACCTTCACAGCAGCCACGTGTGAAACTGAGGAAACTGAGGCTCATTGAAGTTAAGTGGCTTGCCCACAGACTCACAGCAACAGACCACAATTCAGATGCAGGTTAGTCTGACTACAGAGCCCAGATGTTTTACTGTTATGCCTTCCCAGGCAAGGGACTAATTTTTTTTTTTTTTTTTTTGAGACGGAGTTTCGCTGTTGTTACCCAGGCTGGAGTGCAATGGCGCGATCTCGGCTCACCGCAACCTCCGCCTCCTGGGTTCAAGCAATTCTCCTGCCTCAGCCTCCCAAGTAGCTGGGACTACAGGCTTGCACCACCATGCCCAGCTAATTTTTGTATTTTTAGTAGAGACGGGGTTTCACCTTGTTGACCAAGATGGTCTCGATCTCTTGACCTTGTGATCCACCTGCCTCGGCCTCCCAAAGTGCTGGGATTATAGGCGTGAGCCACCGCGCCCGGCCTTTTTTTTTTTTTTTCTTTTTAAGACAGGGTTTCACCATGTTAGCCAAGCTGGTCTTGAACTCCTGACCTCAGGTGATCCGCCCGCCTTGGCCTCCCAAAGTGCTGAGATTACAGGCATAAGCCACCATGCCTGGCCGGGACTGACGATTTTGGGAGGTCAGAGGGTGGGGAGGGTAGAGGAGATTTACAGATGCATGAGCTGAACATGATTTGTCACAGATGATCTAAAGCAGAAAGTCCCCAGTGTGAGAAAAAGCACTTTTACATTGAATCAGAGGGTAGCATCAAAGGCGGGACTAGATCACCTTTAACGTTCTTTTCAATTCTAAGCCTAGGCTTTACACTTTCTTTTTATGTTCTTTTTTTTTTTGAGATGGAATTTCACTCTTGTTGCCCAGGCTGGAGTGCAATGGTGTGATCTCGGCTCACCACAACCTCTGCCTCCCGGGTTCAAATGATTCTCCTGCCTCAGCTTCCCAAGTAGCTGGGAATACAGGCATGTGTCACCACACCTAGCTAATTTTGTTTTTAGTAGAGACAGGGTTTCTCCATGTTGATCAGGCTGTTCTCAAACTCCCAACCTCAGGTGATCCACCCACCTGGGCTTCTCCAAAGTATTGGGATTATAGGCGTGAACCACCGCGCCCAGCCTACACTTTTTTTTTCCTATTCACTATTGCAGTGTTTCTCAAACTAGGTCCTGTGAACTCTAGAGGGTTGCAGGCATGTTGGAGTTCCACAAATTCTACAAGAATTTTGAAATGGGCCGGGCGCGGTGGCTCACGCCTGTAGTCCCAGCACTTTGGGAGGCCGAGGCAGGTGGATCACAAGGTCAAGAGATTGAGACCACCCTGGTCAACATGGTGAAACTCCATCTCTACTAAAAATACAAAAAAATTAGCTGGGCATGGTGGCGCGTGCCTGTAATCCCAGCTACTTGGGAGGCTGAGGCAGGAGAATTGCCTGAACCCAGGAGGCGGAGGTTGCGGTGAGCCGAGATCGCGCCATTGCACTCCAGCCTGGGTAACAAGAGCGAAACTACACTTCAAAAAAAAAAAAAAAAAGAATTTTGAAATGAGAATCTAGAACATTGTATAATCTATAAAGACAAAACTTTTTTTTTTTTTGTAGTGATAATCCATCACTGAAAGACTTTTTAAAGAATAAGACAAGTGTCTCAAGTCAGACTGGGAAATGTGTCTGAGGACCCAAGCTGGGGAAAGAATGGCTTGTCTTCAAAAGGCAACTGTACAATGTTGAGGTTTAAGAGCTGGCATCCTGTGGGCTCTTCCTCCGTCACACAGGGTAATGGATAGGTGACTCTGTTGGTCCCACTTATTCCATCTTTCGTTCACAAAGTCTGTTTCCTGCGTGGTTCCTTCCTCTCCACTTAAAGGGTGGACACCGTCAGTTGGGAGTTTTCCCAGGAGGCGGGAAGACTGTGAAGCTGCCCCTGGCCCAGACACCATCAGGGTGGGTAGGAGGCCGAGCTGTGCCCAGAGAGTCCTGGCATTTCCTCCTCTCTCTACCTGTCACTCCCTGCCTAACCCTGCTCTCTAGAACAGAGCTCAGCAATTCTTTGAAATCAAAATGCATGAATGAAACACAAGGGGTGAAACCCGTGGACTCTGTCTGAGGCTGGGAAAGTCACAGCCAAGGTGTTAAGTAACCACTCTTCAAACGAGGAGGAAATAGAATCTGGCTGGAGCAGCAGCTCCTGGCTTTCCTTCTCGAGGCTCATTAGCTCCCACAGGAAGTGGGGGGCCTTGCCCTAGCTCCCGTTACAGGCGGCAGGCAGCCCACGATCTTGACGCCCTGTGGTTCTCCAAGACCTAAGCCCGGTGGAAAGTTTCACCTTGAGGAAGGAAAGTTTCCATTCCTCCCTCCAGCCCCCTGAGGGAGTGTTCAGCAGACATCCGGGAATGTCCCCCGGGGACAGCCGTCTGGGGCCCAGAGCCAGCCAGGCTGCTGGGCTCCTCCTCATCAGGTCCTCACGCCCTCCCTAGGGAGGTGCGTTAGTACATTGGGAAGAAGGTTCTCAGAGACCCCCAGATTGCCTGCTCACCGTTTGCCCTCCAGATACTGTGCGCTGGACTCCACAGCTGCGCTCTCCCTGTACATGTACACCAGAAGGCACCAGTCCTCAGTAGCAGCAGTGAGCATACGTCATAATTTATGGAACCTTTTAGTCTTCCCCAACAGCCTATGAGCTATGCATTGTCTTTCTCATTTACTTATTTATTTTTTTTGAAACAGAGTCTCACTCCATCACCCAGGCTGGAGTGCAGTGGCGTGATCTCAGCTCACTATAACCTCTGCCTTCTGGACTCAAGCCATTCTTCTGTCTCAGCCTCCCGAGTAGCTGGAACTACAGGTGCATGCCACCATGCCTGGGTAATTTTTTTTATTTTGGTAGACATGGGGTTTCACCACTTTGGCCAAGCTGGTCTCGAACTCCTGACCTCAAATGATCCACCCGCCTTGGCCAGCTAAAGTGCTGGAATTACAGGCATGAGCCACTTTGTCCAGCCAATTATCTTTCTCATTTAAAGGAAATTAAGGCTCAGTATGGTTACGTGACTGGTCCAAAGCAATCCGACTGGTAAATGCTGTAGTTGGGTTTGGACCTCAGTTCTGTCTACACTGTCAGGAGATGTTTTTCTTACACGTTTATATGTGATCTTTTTTTTGTTTGTTTGTTTCTTTTGAAATATTGTGGAGAGTTAGAAATGGAAAAAGAATCCCCCAAAGCAGAGGATCCCTATTCTCTCCCTCCTCAATCTGCTTATGTTCTGCAATACGGGGCAGGGGACGAGGGAAGCCCTTTTCTCTGCCCTTAGTATCTAAGACACCACTTAGTAAATGATCCCTCAAAACCCACTTGGCCACCTGCCTCCAACACATGCCTTTTACCCTAACTCTTCCAGAAACACAGACAGATGGCCCAAGACAGCCTGCACTGGGATGGCCCTGCTCAGCAAAGCTCTCTTGCAGCTGGTGGCCACTGAAGTCTCACTTTCAGACTCACGGGGCAGACTGGCGGTGCAGGATGGACTTGGACGGCAATAATCCCTACACCGTTTCCTTTGGTTCTAGGGCATATTATGCGGGGATTTTTATTTTCTGTAAATAGATTTAATTCAATTGATTTAATTAAATCCTGTTGGCTCAGATTAATGAAATAATGAGTCTTCTTCTCTGAGAATACCCTAAGGTTGGAGGAGAAGAAACATGTGGACCGCAGGGGAGGGCTAAGTGAGATGGTGCATCAGACGCACACTGTGAGCTGCAAAGGGCTAGGCAGATACTGCGACATTGCCACAGCCATTATTACCATCATTTTTTTGTCCCAAACGCCTCTGGGTGGAGTCTTGGAGAGACGAAGTGTAAACAGAGGTAGAGTTTCCTCCCAGGTCACAGGCAGCTTCTTCCACCTCTGCGGGGCTTCTGTCTGCAGCCGATGTCAGATGTCCTCTCAGGTCCCCAAAGCATCCCCTCTAACGTCCTCTCCACAGCCCACTATCCTCCCCAGCCCAGGGCCCCCAGTCACTCACAGTGATTCTCTGCTTGTCTGGCAAGGAGGCCCAGGGGCCTTTTTGAAGACTCCTCATCATCGAGGTGAAGGTCCTCAGCCTCCCACTGCCCAGAGGCCTTGAAGAAGCTGGCACACATCCCATAGGGACAGCACTGGTAGGCATAAGGCACCTCCAGGATCCTGGTGAGGAAGAGGCGGGCAGGTGGGCTGCCTACGCATCTTTGGGGTCTAAGACCTACGTCTAATTTAAGCGATCTCCATCCCAGGGGCTGGGCACTCAGTGCCTGTCCTTCAACCCGCAAGTTCCCTGTTCACTGTGCTAGCAGCTTCCTGGGCTTCCTTTGTAAGGGCCCTGCAGCCTGACTCCTGACCTGAAGGGCTCTGGATGCATTCCTGTCTTTCTTGGTTCCTCTTGGCAAGTGAGATGGGGAGAGAAACGTTCTGCCCATTGTTTACGGAGTCCTCTCTGCAGGTTCAGAGAGGGGAGAGGCTTCCCCAAGTTCACACAGCACTGCCAGTGCTCTGCTCCTCCTCCCAGGCGGCACCTCCTCTTCTGTATTTGAGGAGACAGGGATTCTCCTAGCCACTCCTCACTCTGGTCCTCAGTGAGACCTGCACCGTATCCCTCCCCCATCTCTGGGCATACTGGAGCTGGATTTGGTGCCCTCTAAGGGTGAGCACAGAGGCCCTGAAGGCATCTCATTAGCATGCAGCAGGCTCGGCTTGGGCCACACAGGCTGCACTACTACTGCTGCATGGAAGAGGCCTGGATGTCGTTAGCACCAGGGCCTGGCTGTGCGGCTCGTTTTCCACTCATCAGTTCCTGAGCTCTGCCCTGATTCCAGGGGCTCAGATGCTGCCCAAGTGAAGACAGATAATCTAGACACGTGGAACCAGGTGAGGCGCAAGGAGGACTAGGGGGTCTGAACATCATCTTACTTCTATCCTCTTGGGTCCCAGTGCCCACTAGGGTTGGTGCTTGGGACAGGGGAAAATGTTACCAAGGAGACAAGGAGGAAGGGAAGGCATGAACCAGATCCCACTTGGTCTGCAGGCAGTCAGGTGAGCCCTTCCACTAAATCTTGGTCAAACCCTAAGCCTGTAGGCTCTTCTCAGGGTGGGGCTGTCCGGCTTTCTCCCTGTCCCTCCAGAGCCTCCAGCTGGCCTACCCAGGTGTTGGGGAAAGCCAGTCCCTCACCTCAGTTTTGGGAAACTGTCCTTGGAGAAGGCCTGGGAGAGAGCCAGGTTCCCTTTGAGCTTCAGATGCATCAAGCCCCCAAGTCCAGCCAGGGGCAGTGTGGTCAGCTGGTTGTCTGTCAGGTCCCTAGGACAGTGGATGGTCAGGGTTATTGGCAGTCAGTGGGATTGCTGAGGGGGCAGGGCTGTGCTGAGGATGTGGCCAGTGTGCCTGGGATGGAAGCAAGAGGAGAGGAGCAAAGGACAGAAGAGAAGCTCAGAAGAGGGCATTGAATGCCGAGGGAGGAGGGCAGCCAAGAGTTGCTAGAGGCACCATCTACAGCTTATTCATTCTTTTATTCACTCATTCATTCAACACATAACGGTGCCAACTATGTACCAGGGACTGTTCTAACTTAATGCCAAGCTGTCCCAATTTGTAGGTAACAGAGCTCTCTCAACCACAGGTCCTGTGCCCAGGTCTGAGTGCCATCCAGGAGGCCCTGCCCAGCTCCCCTGGGGAACCTTCCTGTTGTTGATCCCATCCCCCTGCCTTTCCTCCCATTTTTCTGATGACATAGAGGCCCAGGTCTGGGATTGGACCGAGCCGGTCATCTGGCTACAAGCAGGGATTGGGTCATCCGTTCCATCTTGTAGAGTCTGCTTTGTAGCCAGAGGTGAGGACATGCATGTTCTTCTACTGGAGACGCATTAGAGGAAGCCCAGGGTTCCAAACCAAACACCAAGACCACAGACTGTGCGTCGTGGAAACAGCCCTGGACTGGAAGGCAGGAAACCTGGCGCTGTCACCAACTCACTGTGTAACCGAGGGGAGCCGCAAATCTGCCTGAGCTTCAGCATCCTCATCCTTCAAAGGGATAAAAATATCCACCCTACCTATCTGGCAAGACTAGCGAAAACAGGAGGGCGAAGACGGAGGTGAGAGTTTTGTACAGCCATGGCCCAGCCTGAGGAGGTACTTGTGTGCCCGCTGGGAGTTCTGGCCCTTGGCTTTGAGTAAGCTTCTCCTCCTGGGCCTTGGAGGCCTCACCTGTGAAGTGAAGTGGGTGGGGCTAGATGGTCTCTGAGGCCAGGGCTGGAGCTAGCCCGAAAGGAGTCTTTGTGTTAACCAGAAAAGGGCCCCGTCTGGGTAGACAGTCTGGGTAGCCTTTAGGACTCACAGCTTGGCAAGGAGGTGGCAGGATGTCAGCTCCCTCTTGGGCAGGAGCCCTTGTGCAGTGAATAACCTGCCCCACAGTACATGGCAGCTGCCACAGAGGCCCCTTCCAGCCCTGACACAGTGACCATGCAGCCAACACTGATCACTTTCTGTTTACATCCTATGTAATTTAAAGGACCTAAGGTCCCATGCTGCCCCACAGAATGGCAGCCCTCTAGAGCAGTGCTCAAGCAGGGGACCCTGAGCTCTCTGAGACCCTCCTGTGTGTGAAGGAACTCCAGGCCCAATACATCTTTATCAGTGTGTAGAGAGGATGGGGGAAGGACCCAGGCAGGGGGGGATGAGGAGGGCTGAGGCTGCCAAAACACTGCAGAACATTAGCCGATGATGTTCCAGAGCTTGCAAGAGGCAAGCTCTCTGTTTATTAGGCCCCACACTCTGTCAAACGGATTGTCAGAATGACTGATTAGTCTGAGGCCCATCTCCCTAGGATATGCATGTTCCTGCTTTGGGGTGGCCCTCCTGCCTCTGTTGGCTGGCCCATAGTCCCGACTAGCCCCCAGCATCCTGGAGGAGAATGCAGCAGGCACTTACAGCTTGACCAGGGAGCGCAGGGTGGAGAAGGCCTCGGGGTGGATGGACCGGATGGCATTCCAGCTGAGATCCCTGCAGGCAGAGAGGGTGTGACAAGAGGGGACAGTAACATGTGGAGGACTCACTGTTCCCATCATGGGCTCTCCCTCACATACCCCTGTCTGACCTGGCCCTAGGAACAGCAACCTTAGCCTTTGGGGAAAGGTACCTGCTGCTGCCCAGCTCCTAAGCTGACTGGGGCCCCAGGAACAGGGACATGACAGCTTGGCTCCGGAGCCTCAGGGCCTCCTGGGTACCAGCTAGAGAAGTCTGTGTGTGTGTGTGTGTGTGTGTGTGTGCGCGCCCGCGCGCCCGCGCGCGTGCACTGGGTGTGGGGGCTATGGAGCTGGGAGGCGATGTGCATGTCACGTCTGCTTAAACTGTACTCATGTGCTATGAGAATGAGCACGCCTGGCAGAGGGACATGGTGGCTCCTCCATGGCCCACCCCTGGGTGCAGGTACTCACAGGGCTTGCAGGGAGCTCAGCTGGCTGAAGGTGTCAGCTCCAATTTCCCAGATGCGGTTGTGTTGGAGGCCGCTAGGGCAGCAAAAGAGGCTGGATGAGTCGGCAGGCTCAGACTCTGGCTCCGCTCCATGCCCCCCGAGCACCGGGAGGAAGAAAGGAGAGCCCCCCACTTCTCCTGGCACAGGAAGAAAGAGCCCAGCCCGAGGAAGTCACCAGAATTAAAGGGAGCACAAGGGGATCCGGTTGCCTTGGGTAAGTGGGTCAGGAGACAAAGCCACAAAACCATCCCTGTGGCCCAGAAGGGAGTCAGCTTCCAGTGTTCCCACTGGGTTTGGCTCCCAGCCCAGCCAAACTGGCCCCCACACCTCCCCATCACCATGGGTCCTCCAGACCCTAGCCCAGAAGCAGAGCACCGCCCAGCCTAAGTGACTGGCCGGAGCTGGGAAGCAGAGCTCAGTAGACTGGTTGTCTGAACGGGAGATGGACCCTGGGCCTCAGCCATGCGGAAGACCCTCCTTCCCTTGGCACCTAGACAAACAGGAGACCCTCATACCCATACCCTGCCCCAGCGCCAAAAGGCATGGCCCTGACTAGAAGCAGGGGTCAGACACAGGGAGGCTCAAGAGGCCGTGTCTGCTTGACAAAACAGGAGCTGGGTTAACAGAGCTTCAAGAATTTTTAAAGTGATATTTTCTTTGGGACCTGTGCATTCCAGGCTGCTTCTTCCACACACGGTTTTGTATGTCTGTGTGTAACATGCAAACACATACACACATATGCCCGTATGTGTTTATGGGGGTATGGAAAAGGAGAGAGCACGTTCCAAAATGCAGGGTGTTCCAACTCCTAACAGCCTTCTCTGGACCAACCCATGAAGCCTTGATGCGACCCTGGCCCTCCACTGGCCTAATCATTCTGGCATTTCTGCGTCGCTGTTGATTCATAAGGAGCCACCTTGAGACTCCTTTTGGACACCAGCTCCTGGGTCTGTCATCTGCTGGGAGTCCTAGGGCCACTGAGCAGGCCTCTGGCAAGCACTCAGCCCTAAACGCTGGGTTCAACAAACTCAGAAAAAAGGAGGAGGAAATGTCAAAGTGTGCATTGGCCCTTACTGACACCCCAACGTGCCTCCCTGCAAGACTTGCTCAGGGTCTGGCTGGCATGCCTTTGCCTCTCCCCACCCCAGACTCACATTTCCTCCAACTTCTGACACCTGTGCAGGCTGGGCAGCTCCTCAATTTGATTGTGAGACAGTTCCCTGGGGAAGAGAAAGGCCAGGGCTGGGGTGATGTGGTGGCTATGTGAGGGCTGTGGGAGCAGGGGAGGGGGGGCTCTGGCCAGGGCTGTGCCTTCCTGTCAAGCAGCCAAAGGCTGTGGGGACCCTACAGCAACGTGGCTGTTGATAACGTCTCACACCAGGGCACCAGTCTCCTCAATTCACTCTCTCTGCATTTCCTCCTATTAAATCCCGATCCTCACTGGGCCTAGATGGGGCTACCTTATCACGTGATGGCCTGGGGGCACCTGGGAGAGTCCCGGGGAAAGAGGAACCAGAAAGGAGAGAGGCATGGCAAGAGGAAAGAGGGGGAGAGGGGCACTGAGCCAGCCAGCAGAGAAGACATCAGATATCACTGAGGAACGCCAACTCAAGCACCTGCAGTCACCATTTATGGGACCGGCAGGAAAGATCAGAGCTGAAGGCCCTTAGGGATCATCTGGCCCAACCCCTTCCCTCAGCAGATGAAAAACCTGAGGCCCACAGAGGGGACAGGACATGGTAAAGGGCATACCACCAGTCAGCGGCCAGGCTGAACTGGAGCCTGTATCTCCGGACCCCCAGTCTAGGGCTCTTTCCACACACCATGTGTTGGTCCACCCATTTGAGCTGCGGGTCTCTGGCCCCTGATGAGGAGCCTCGGATTCAAGTTAGAGTCCAAGGAGAGAGGAAAACTCCCCTTCCCTTCAGAGGTCACTTAAGTAGCTCCACAGTCCCAAGATCCCAAGAGGGGACTAATTTTCTTGTGTAAATTAGAGTAATAATGTCATTTCTTGGCATTATGCACTAGGTGCTTTACCTATTTTTTTTCAACCCTTACAAACTGACCCATATTTTATAGATGAGGATATCGAAGCTCAGCGACATTAAAGAGTGAGTCCAAATCAATAAAGCTAGAAAGTGGCAGAGCTGTGCCTCAAACCCAGTCCCTCTGGGGCAGGCTCTTAGCAGGAGCCTACACTGCCGCACTCTCCAGGAAGGGAAGTGACTAAGTGGGACAGAAGCAGGAGAGGCCTTTTGTGGGACATGGGGGTGGGGGCACAATGCCAAGACTGTAGAATGCTTGTGAGCACTCACAGGACTCGGAGCCTGGGCAGCTGTTGGCACATCCCCGATGGGAGCAGCCGGATGCCTGCACGGGTCAGGGTCCTGCAGGGAGAACAGAGACAGAGCTGGCACCAGGCCTGGGGCCCTGACATTCCCAGCCACCCGGCTCCAGCTCTGGACCTGATAGTGTTGTGGGATGACGGAGCAGACAAAAGAGAGAAATGGAGGGAGAGACAGGGCAGGGGGTGGGGCTGTGGGGACAGAAATGAGCAGACACTGGCCTCTGAGCCCCAAGCTCCCCTGGGCCTGGAGGAGCTGGGGGAGGGGAGTGGAGAGAGAGGGCCACAGCCCAGGGCTCTGCTTGGCTGACAGTCCCAGCATGTCCAGCCCTGCTCCAGGCATCCCTATCCCGTCCCTACCCCAGGTCTCATAATGGTCTCAAGCAGCACTGGGCCTGTAGGACTGGGACACAGATCTCCGCTGTAGGGACCTTAAAGATGGGGGATATTCATGGGCAAGGAGTAGACAGAAAAAAACCATAGTGGGACCATGGGAACCAAGCACAGAGTTTGGTCCCTGTGCCTCGGAGGAGGGAGAAGAGATGGGAAAGAAGGGAAGAACCAGGCGCTGGTCTGGAGAGGGCTGTGGGAGCAGGTCAGAGTGCCAGCTTGGCTTAGGGCAGGGTGTCACAGGAAGGACCCAAGGCCAAGGTCATGGCTGGGGAATGACTACTTCCCTCATGGAAAATTTTCCACATGCCAGCGAATCTAGTGGGGAGACAATAGAGGCACAGAGGAGAGTCCCAGTCCCAACGGTGCCATGAATGAGCTTTGTGGTACGGGGCAGGGCAGCCGACTTCCTGACACTCACTCTGGGTATTTGCTCAATTGTTTCATTTCATTCATTTAAACGTATTGAGGGCCTACTGTGCTTTGAGATTCCCTCTCTCAACGCCATAGGATATAATAATAGAAAATACAAGAATGTCTTTGTTGGAATCAAGCTTCAGAAAGGCAAAGAAGACGGGTTTTCACAACCCACCCCTCCATCGCTTCAACCCTCAATGTACCTGTGTCTTGGGTTTAGGAGCTCTGAATTCATACCTGAAAAATCCAAGCATGGTAAAGAGAGAAAAGCCAGCCTCCTCCCTGCCATCCCAACTGCCACCTCCTGACCTTGCCTGTGGGCAGTGCCACATTAGGAGGAAGCCACGGGCCCCTGAGGTAGAGCCAGCAGTAGAAGCTGGCTGGATAAGAGGGAAGCAAAGAACCTGGAGAGACTTCCAGGGGCAAGGAGGTGGAAGAGCCCTTGGGGATGCCGCTGGGTGACAGATAAGGTGGAGGGAGAGAGAGTCACTCACAGGATCTCCAGGCTGGTGGTGCCTTTGAGATCTGGAAACTCCTGGATGTCTGTGGCACCATTCAGAGATCTGGAAACAGAGACAATGAGCTCTGAGGGATGGGATCAGAGCATCTCAACATCCAGACTCTCAATTCTCTGTTTTGTCTCCCCTCGGGGACTCCTCCTTTGGGGACAATGTCATCCTTCCCCGCAATCTCCCTCAAGTCAGCCTCCCAGACCCTGGTGGAGTCTGAGCCATGCTTAGCAGGGTCCAACCAGCCATTTGCCTAAGTTGGCTCAGCACACCCTTTCCCAGACAGAACTGGGTAACCTCAGCATTCACCCTTCAGCTTGCAAAAAACCCACAGGCAAGCAACATGGAAATGGCCTCTGGTTAACAGATGTCAGCTTGGGTGCTTCTGGAGAAGCCCTTGGCTGCTGGGTTTTGCTTATTAGAACCGGAGATAGGATCTTCCCTAAATTGTCATCTGCTAGAACTTTATTAAAACTATCAGTTCTCTTAAACTGCTTTAGACCGGTGGTTTTCCTTCTCCCCACCACCTCCTATCTTATTGAGGACACGGACCCTCATGGGGCCTGCATACAACAGCAGTGCAGAAAATTGAGCATTGTGAAAGGCCCTGAGGAGGCAGTGTGGGGTCCAGAAATGAGCCCAGAATCTGAAATTAAAAGGTTCTGGGTTCATGCCCACACACAGAGCCTGAGCACCTCATGTTCCATGTGTAAAATGGACCAATAACACCTACCTCACAGGGTTAGGATGCAGATGAAATGCCGTAACGGACATGAAAGTTAAGTATGTGCTTTGGAGATGTTGGCTGTGTTACTGTGATGCCACAGTAGGCTGACAGCAATCCATGGAAGCTTTTTTTTTTTTTTTTTTTTTTTTGAGACTGAGTCTTGGCTTCACTGTCACCTCTTCCTCCCAGGTTCAAGTGATTCTCCTGCCTCAGTCTCCCAAGTAGCTTAGCTGGAACTACAGGCATGCACTGCCACATCCAGCTAATTTTTAAATTTTTTTTTTTTTAAGATGGAGTTTCATTCTTGTTGCCCAGGCTAGAGTGCAATGGCGTGATCTTGGCTCACTGCAACCTCTGCCTCCCGGGTTCAAGTGATTCTCCTGCCTCACCCTCCCGAGTAGCTGGGATCACAGGTGCCCACCACCATACCCGGCTAATTGTTTGTATTTTTAGTAGAGACAGGATTTCACCAGTGTTGGCCAGTGTGGTCTCGAACTCCTGACTTCAAACGATCCACCCAACCTCGGCCTCCCAAAGTGCTGGGATTACAGGCATGAGCCACTGTGCCTGCCTCCATGGAAATTTCTTCAAAAAGAAATGGGACTTGGGCTGGAAATTAGAGAATGAGAGAGGGGAAATAACGATGGCACAGCAAAGGGCCCAGGGATCTGGGCTCCAAGGCCGCAGGAGAGCCACCCTTGAGAGAGCACACCGCATTCAAAACTCTTCAGTCATTTCTGGAGAAGCTACCATGAGCTGGATAAAACCCAAGAGGCCAAATGAAAGTCCTTGGCTATGGAGATGGACCTTCTTGTCCCTTTGAGACCTGGGAAGAAGCCACAGGTCAGGGAGGTGGAGGGAGGTTATTCAATTTAGAAAGAGGTGGGAATGGGTCCGAGCAAAGCAGAGGCCTGCAGCCTTGAAGACCATGCCTTGAAGTGGGCGTGCACCTCGCAAGTTAGAGCTCTCCAGGGGAGGGCAGGAGAGAGAATGCAGGAGTGAGGAAAGGGGGAGGTTCAGGCTTCGGCAGCCTTCAGGAGACAACTTACAGCGTGTGGAGTTTAGGCAGGTACTGGAATGCCGATCTTCCCACAGACTGGATTGGGTTGTCATAAAAGTGTCTGGAAGAAGAAGGTCCAAACACCGAAATCTGTTTTTCAGACCTTTCTGCTGGGACGAAGGCCAGCCTCTGCTTTCTTCTCCTACCAATGTAGGCCCGGGAAGGAACTCGCAGGGAAAGGCAACCCCTCCCATACTTCTGCCTCCCTGCTGTTTTCTAGGGAAGTCCCTCCGGCCTTCCCATCCTCTGTCCTCCTCCCCGAAACACTGTGCGGCATCAAAAGACCAGAGAAAGTGTACTCACATCGTCTGTAGCAGAGGGTTCCCCATGAAGGCCTTTTCTGGGATGGCCTTGATGTTGTTGTTATGAAAGCCCCTGGAAGACAACACCCGGCAACCAGTGAGGATTTGGAGAAAAGTATAGCGGGGAAGACGCGTGGAATTCCACGGGGCTTTGGACAGCAAGCTGGACAGTCCGTAAGACAAAGAGGCATCGGCCTGAGATTCCAGGTTCAGTCAATACTGCCGGCGCTGCTGTTTTTTTTCCTTTCTCTTTTTTTTTTTTTTTCAGACGGGGTCTCTGTTGCCCAGGCTGGAGTGCAATGATGCGATCTTAGCTCATTGCAGTTCGGCCTCAACTTCCTGGGCTCAAGTGACTCTCCTGCCTCAGCCTCCCACACAGCTGGGACTGCAGGCATGTGCCACCATACCTGGCTAATATTTTGATTTTTTTTGGTAGAGACGAGATCTCACTTGGTTGCCCAGGCTACATCTAGAACTCCTGGGCTAAAGTGATCCTCCTGTCTCTGCCTTCCAAAATGTTGGGATTACAGGTATGAGCCACCGCACACAGCCGATTTTTCTTCTTGTTTAATTACACACTCTCCTTTCCCTAACAAATGCAAAAGGAGTGAGGGGTGGAGACCTGGGCTGCAGGTCTCAGGAAGCCTATGGCAGCAACTCAAGAGCAAGAGGCAGAGTTCAGGTCCCAGGAGGGGAATCCTCTCCTTAGCCACTTGTGGTAGGAGCCCTGGCGGGTCCCCACAGAGGAAGCCAAGGGTATATGAGAGGAAAAGGAAGATAAAGAAGAAACACAGCTTCCAGGGGATCCCAGGTGAGGGATGCTCCTCAAATGGAGGCTGGCTTGGCCTCAAGGCCCTGAAATAAAGAAACAGACGTGTCAACAGCATGCAGCCAGGGCTACAAGGTGCGGAATGGGACACTGAGTGACTGTGGATGGCACTATGGGAAAATGAGGACTGAGGCACCCAGATGACAGTCTGGAAGCCAGGAATTATGTGTTTGGTTAGTTGGGAAGAACATTTCAAAATAAATAACATGTTGGACTGAAAAGTGCGTAACCCGTGCAGAGCAGGCTCCTTTCCTTCCTCCTTTTTTTTTTTTTTTTGAGATGGAGTCTCGCTCTGTCACCCTGGCTGGAGTGCCATGGTGAGATCTCGGCTCACGACAACCTCTGCCTCCAGGGTTCAAGTGATTCTCCTGCCTTGGCCTCCCGAGTAGCTGCGGCTACAGGCATGTGCCACCAAACCCAGCAAATTTTAGTATTTTTAATAGAGACGGAGTTTCCCCATGTTGGCCAGGATGGCCTTGATCTCTTGATCTCATGCTCCACCCACCTCGGCCTCCCAAAGTGCTAGGATTACAGGTGTGAGCCACCGCGCCTGGCCCCTCCCCCTCTTTTTTATTGGCAGTTTCTGGCTTCTCTGTCCCCCTGGCCTCTGCTCACCTCTGTCTTCCTCCTGCCATCCCATCGTGACTTCCAGCTTCACGCTGTCTCACTCATAGCTTCACCCTCAGACACCTCCAGCGAGTGCCATCTACCCAGGCCTATTTGTTCATTAATTTATTCCCCTCATCTGCTCATTACGTTTTTCTTAAACTATCTTTGTGTCTAACATTGGACCAAGCTCTGAGGAATTTAGACGTTTCTAAGACAGGGGCCTTGTCCTGAAGCAGCTTTCTCTCAATAGATGAGAGAGCAGGAGAGATGGACAGGCAGACATGCAAACCCTGCCCCCACACCTTTTTCCCCTGCTGATTAAGTTAGGTCTCCTCTCTCTCCGCTAATGCTTTATTGTTTCCTGGTCCAATGCTTTTGCACATCCTATTCCCTTCATGCCTTCTTGATCGATCAAATCTCACGCTCCTCTCAGGCCCCAGCTCAAAGGAATAAAGTTAGACCTTGGTAACTCTGGCGATGGAGAACTTCCAACAGTTTCTCACTCATACTTTTTTTTTTTTTTTTTTTTTTCAGATGGAGTCTCACTCTGTCACCCAGGCTGGAGTGCAGTGGTGCAATCTCCATTCATCGCAATCTCTGCCTCACAGGTTCAAACCATTCTTGTGCCTCAGCTTTCCAAGTAGCTGGGACTACAGGCGCGTGCCACCATGCCTGGCTGATTTTTGTATTTTTAACAGAGATGAGGTTTCATCATGTTAGCCAGATTGGTCTCAAACTTCTGACCTCAGTGATCCACCTGCCTCGGCCTCCCAAAGTGCTGGGATTACAGGTGTGAGCCACCATGCCCAGCCAGACTAGCTGGTCCAGTTGTTCCCTATCTGCCACCTACATCTGGCATTCACCCCTTCAAACTTCTGGATGAGGTGAGGGAGGTGGCATGGGGCTAGTACTGTAGGTCTCAGGTGGTGGTGGTGGTTTGAACTATAAAGATACTAAGCTGGCCAGCCGCAGCGGCTCATGCCTATAATCCCAGCACTTTGGGAGGCTAAGGAGGGTGGATCGAGAGGTCAGGAGATCCAGACCATCCTGGCCAACATGGTGAAACCCCGTCTCCACTAAAAATGCAAAAATCATCAGGGCATGGTGGTGTGCGCCTGCAGTCCCAGGCTGAGGCAGGAGAATCACTTGAACCTGGGAGACGGAGGTTGCAGTGAGCCGGGATTGAGCCACTGCACTCCAGCCTGGCGACAGAGTGAGACTCTGTCTCCAAAAGAAAGAAAGAAAAAGAAAAGATACTAAGCTGCCAGGAGGTTTGGGGCTCCATCCATGAGTCTCCAGGCTACCTTAATCTGGCCCCACTCTAGCTGTACAGTAGAGCTCTTCTTGTTTCTTGAGAGGGCCCCTCCGGTAAAGCTGCTTCCCACCTGTGCTCCTCCCTCTGCCAGCTCAACTTCCTACCTGGGTCTTTACCCACTGTTTCTTCCTCTGAAATGCCTCTCTGCTCCCCATCACTGCCACCTGAATCCTGATATCCTTTAAGGCTCCTCTCAGGATTAGTACAATGATCTTTCCATGTTACTCTGAGCTCCCACCAGTGTTTTAGGTAATACTCTGTCATTTATGCTTGAAGTTATATACCATTTTGTCCTGTTCCCTGTTTTACCTATGTTATTTTGTGTCTTCAGTGAGGCTGAGGATGCTTAGACAGGGCCATGCCAATCTAACCCTTCGTTTGTGTTTATCACTAAACACAGTGCTGGCCATACTGGGTGCTCAGTGAATGCTGAAATAAAGTAAGTGGTGGCTTTGGGGAACCACAGACGACTTTTCAGTCACCCTGGGGACAAAGTGCTGAGGAGTGATCCTGTAAACCGGCTCCCAGTCCTTTTCCTCATTCTTCTCTGGACATACCCCAACCAAGGCAGGGGCAGTGCCAGGCCCAGGCTAATAGGAGGTGGCTTGTGCCGTGGGTTTTCCCAGGCTGGAAGGGCCCAGGGCCATTTCTGCTGTTGACACACCCCCAGGAAGTGCTCAAAGCCAAGCTAATGAGGCCTGGGATGACTTAGAGCGCGCTGGGGCTTGGGGAGCAGGGAGCCAGCTACATCTTTTACAAGGACCATGGGAGGTGAGGAGGTGAGAGCATGAGGCAGCTCAGGCTGGCTTCAGCCCCTGCCCTTGGGACAGGAGGACACCCATAGAAACAGAGGCGCTTACAGTTCCTGCAGTCTGCCCAGGGTCCGGATGGCCATGGGGAACTCCTGCAGCTCGTTATAATTCAGGTCTCTGGAACGGAAAGCAGAGCAGTCATTAGAGCAAAGGCTTAATGGGGCACGTCGGGGTCCCTGAGACGTGGAAACTTGGCTCTGGGCTTGGCCAGGGAGATAGGTTTTCCAATCTGTTGGACCCCATGGCCAATGTCTGGAAACACGTTTTTGGAATGTTCGTGCTCCGTTCCTATTCCACAAATCCTCAGGTATGGAATCTTCCTGGCTGCAGAACTGTTTTGAGGGGGGAGTCATACTTTAGGGGTGTGTATATCTGGAACCATCTCCCTCAGAATAGTCCCTGCCAGCTGAAGAAAGCATCTTGGAGACATCAGCAGAGTGGAGGAAGTGGGGAAGTGTGTGATCGTTACGTAACCAGCACTAGGGATTCCAGAAGGTTCCTCAGGTGACTACCTTCGTTATCTGTAGTCTTTGCTGTCATCCTCTATAAAAATGGGAAGTGTGGGCTGGGTGCGGTGGCTCACGCCTATAATCCCAGCACTTTGGGAGACCGAGGCAGGTGGATCACAAGGTCAAGAGCTTGAGACCATCCTGGTCAACATGGTGAAGCCCTGTCTCTACTAAAAAATACAAAAATTAGCTGGGCGTGGTGGCACGTGCCTGTAGTCCCAGCTACTCGCTCGGGAGGCTGAGGTAGGAGAATTGCTTGCACCCAGGAGGCGGAGGTTGCGGTGAGCCGAGATCAGGCCATTGCACTCCAGCCTGAGCAACAAGAGCGAAACTCTGTCTCAAAAAAAAAAAAAAAAAAAAGTAGCGGGGAGTGTTTCGTTTCTTTGGGTGAAGGCACCACAGCTATTTTCTCTTACATTTTTCTGTATTTTCCTTTTTTTTCTTTTTTGCAATGAGCATACATCACATGTATAATTAGAAAATGATGAAGGTATTTTTTAAAGGGGTGACAACCCAAGTAGGAAAGAATATGGAGAAACAAGCATTCTGATAAATTATTATCAGAATCTAAATGTGTACAACCTTTCAGAAACAATTTGACAACACCTTTTCAAATTAAAAGATTCACACCCAGGTACTCAAGTCTAGGAATGTGTATGGATAAGTACAAGGATATTCAGAAAAACACTGTTCAGGCACCGGGGCAAAATATTGAAGCATAAGGGACCACAGCATCACTCCATCAACTCATTTTTTTTTTTTTTTTTTTGAGATGCAGTCTTGCTCTGATGCCCAGGCTGGAGTATAGTGGCACAATCTCGGTTCACTGCAATCTCCACCTCCTGGGTTCAAGCAATTCTCCTACCTCAGCCTCCCAAGTAGCGAGGATTACAGGTGCACGCCACCATGCCTGGCTAATTTTTGTATTTTTTTTTAGTAGAGACGGGGTTTCACCATGTTGGCCAGCCTCGAACTCCTGACCTTGTGATCTGCCCACCTTGGTCTCCCAAAATGCTGGGATTATAGGTGTGAGCCACTGCGCCTGGCCTCTATCGACTCTTTTAAGGAAACTTCTGTGTCTGTGCCTTTCGTGGAGATGACAGGACTAGAGAAGGAAGAGGAATGGAAGAGACTGAGGGCAACTTTTATTTTCATCAGAAAAGATTTAGAATTGCTTGTGACAAATAGAAAAGAGCCCCAAAGGCAGGGGAGCCCCAAGGAAAGAGGTGAGTGTTGTACTCCCTGTTATGTGATGAGATCCCCTCTCTACCATCCAAGAGCTTCCAAAATTTTAAAGTTGGGCTTTCATTTTACTCGGTAGTCAATGACTTAGCTCCATGTGGAAATGTGACTGATTTGCGGGTGTCTTGGTACCTCTCGAATCCTGTTTTTGGGGTCCTCGGATTTGGCAATAAACTTTGGGGAAGACTCAGTTGCAGCGTCCCTCCTGAGCCTCCCAGGATGACCCCGGCCCACCTCCTCAGCCTTTTAAAGCCACCACTGTCCTGACAACTTTCATGGCTGTCCAATGCCAGGCAGGGGACCACGTGGAGGCCCTCTAATTACAGAGTGACTTGGCAGGGTCTTGTGGATGAATACCATGTTAACATGGAGATAATGACAGGCTCCTCTGTGTGACAGGGTCATTACACTTAATAGTCCACAGGTAGGGCCAGGAACCCAGCCCAAGGGCCAGAGGGGCAGTGACAAGCATCTGGCAGCCGGCGAGCCGGATAATTGTCCCTCACTACACACATACACACACACACACACACACACACACACACACACACACACACACACTAATTACCCGATTACCCTCAGACTGCCCTGGTGATCTTGGGTAATTACAGTAGAAAATCCCTTCTGCTTTGCTTCTCTCTGCTTCATTCTCTTGTGAGTCAGACACCTTTGCCTCTCATGGGTCAAACCTTGTTGATTCGCTTACAGAGAGGCTCCCGCAGGCTGTGTGAGGATGTGGTCACGCAGAGGCCAGGATGTGTGCAAAGCACTTTGACTGAAACCAGAGGTATTCGAGTTGGAAACGGAGGAATTTTCAAACTGTGGAGTTTCTGGAGTTCTACCAGGCGCTACAGAAAATGCCTAGAAAACTAGGCTGGGAGAGTTGAGGATGGCAGCAGGGATGAAGGCAATGGCCTTTCTTTTTGGTTTTAAATTGTGTACGTGATTCATTCTCGTATCTCAGTATTTCAAAAGCAGGTGCTCCCCATTCATCTTGGCTCAGCCCACCAGGGAGTTCTCCACTGTTGCTGAGAAACAGATTTTCCATAAATAATATGGAAGTCTCTTTATTGAAAAGTCCTGTTTTTTTGTTTTGTTTTGTTTTGTTTTTTGAGATGGAGTCTTGCTCTCTTGCCCAGGCTAGAGTGCAGTGGTAGGATCTCCGCTCACTGCAACCTCTGCCTCCCAGGTTCAAGCAATTCTCCTGCCTCAGCCTCAGGAGTAGCTGGGATTAAAGGCGTGAGCCACCACACCAGGCTAATTTTTGTATTTTCAGTAGAAACAGGGATTCGCTATGTTAGGCTGGTCTTAAACTCCTGACCTCAGGTGATTTGCCCGCCTCATCCTCCAAAAGTGCTGGGATTACAGGTGTGAGCCACTGTGCCCAGCTGAAAAGTCTTACTATTGCATTATTATCTCAAATGTAAAGTATTGCACTGGTCTGGCTTCAGAGACTTTGCCGGCTATTCCACAGGCCTAGAATGCTCTTCCCCAAATACTCCTGTGATTTACTCATTCTATTCATTCAGGTCTCTACCCAAAGTATACCTCATCAGAGAGGCCTTCCCTGACTGCTCTATCTAAAATAGCACATTCTGGCATTTGCTATTCCCTTATCCAGTGTGATAGATTAAAAGTGACCACAAATCCTTTGTGATTTCTCTCAAGACGTGACATCTACCTGAGGCTGGGACGGCCTTGTGACTGGCATGGTCCGACAGAGTGAGATGGAAGTGATATAGTGTGACTTGGTCCTCGGTCACAAGAGGCCTCACAGCCTCCGCCTTTGCTTTCTTGGAATGCTCCCACAACTTGTAAGAAAGTCCAGGCTAGACTCTTGTATGATGAGGGCCACGTGGAGAGAGAAGATAAGCTGACAGCCAATACCAAAGCCCCAGACATGTGAGTGACCTCCCTCCACCTCTTAGCCCTAGTTAAGCATCCAGATGACCACAACCTCGTGAATGAACCCAGGGGATGGCTCCAGCAGAAGAACCACCCTGACGTGCCAGCAAGGCCATGACTCATGAGAAACAATAAAGTGATATTTTAAGCCACTACATTTTGGGGTGATTTGTTATGCAGCAATAGACAGTGAGACAGCCTCCATTCTTCTTCTTCACAGAACGTAGTCACCTGACATATATTTGTTTATTTTCTTCCCACCCAATTAGAATGAAAGCTCCTTGAAAATTGTTTTATATTCTAAACACCATAATAATCCTGGCACATAGCAGGAGCTCAACAAATACTTGATGGATGAATCAATGAGGACATCTGAATAAACTGATCAATGAAAATATTAACGGCCTCTTTAGAAAATCTAGAGTATTTGGGGGAACATCCTTAAGATGTTGAGGTCGATGTCACAAAAGGTACAAGGCAGTGGCCACAGAGACCAATGTGACTTTGCTATCATTGAGTCCTCATACAGTTCATTGCGCCCATGTCCAGGCAATTAGTTGAGTAGTTCCAGCCCTCCCTGGCAGTTTCTGGTCAGGAATTTTGCAGGAGTGGCCTAACAGACAGCAGCAAAAGATATATGGTAAAAGGCATGTGAACCAAAAGTCTATTTTTGTAGAGAAATGTGAGCGAATAAAAATTGTACAAAGGTCAAAGAGAATTCTGCAAACTCCATGCCAATGAGGTGGCCGGAATTTTCCCATTTGGACGTCTACCCAGATTTAATGACCTGGGCTATTGCCAAAGTCCTCCTTCATATAGTGCCATGTAGATGTAATCTCTGGCTCTAATTGTCCAGGGAACATGTCTTTGCAACTCTCTCTGCTCCTGATGAATTTAACTCAGTGCAACGAACATTGTTGCCTCTTCAAAATAGACAATTCTGCTGGGTAAAGTGGAAGGTAGAGAGATGAGTTAAAAAAAAAAAAAAAAACCACTGCTATCTAGACAAATGCACAAAAGATGCTGAAATGGGCATCCTTGACATGACTTTGGAGAGCACACAAAGCATCAGGACCTTCACTGACTGCAGTGATCACACACAGCTATAAAGACCACGAGGGCTTCATGGAAATGTGACACTTGAATCCTGTCTTGATAACACAGCAAGATTTCAATATGACGGGATGCCTGGATCAAGCAGAGAGAGCATGAATTTAGAGGAATTGAGTGCTGTGGAGTCGTTTTTGGAAAAGAGCAAACAATATAGCCTGGTGGGGGCAAAGGGCAATATTTGGAGGTAATTCCAGAGGGCTCTCTCCTCTGGACTGTTGTGCACTTCTTATCTGATGTCCCTGCCTCCAAGTCATTTGTATGATAACATTGACTGAGCACTGTCTGTGTGCCAGCCACTAAGTGTTTTGTCCAAATAATCTCTTAATCCTTACAACAGTCTCAAGAGGC